GCCAGTATCCTGCCTGCCAAGCTTGAGCTCCTCAGCCTCTGCAGCTACATGATTCGGGAAAAGCCTCCAGCTTGACGTTTGATGCAAGAACTTGGGACTTGCCAGCTTCTATAAGTGTGTGAGCCATTTTCCTAAGATAAATTTCTCTTTCTCTATATATAAGCTTTACTGGTTTTATCTCTCTAGAGAACCCAATCTAACACACAAGCCAAAAGCTGTTTCTTATAAGGACAGTAGTTATCTGCAGAGGATGGTAGGGCTTTGCTCTAAAATCCTAAAGGCCTTTTCTGTGATTCACCAACAGGGGCTTGCCAAAGACTCCAAACAGCATCTCTGACACTGACACTTCAAGCACCGCTGGATCAGCCAGATTATGTGGCAGAGTGGCTTCCTGACAGCCTTCCCTTGTTGCACAGCCTTCTCTTGCTCTGTACCCCACTGAATATTAGCAGCTTTTTGAGTCACTTGATAAACACGCCAAAGTAGCAAACCTGGCTAACAGACTGAAAGAGATCCGTAATTGATGATCCAAAAGAATGTGAAAATTATTGAATAATATTACTAATATCACACACAAGTAAAATTTTGCTGAAAACAATTCAAAAATGGTTGTGGCAGATCATCAACAGGGAACTGCCAGAGATTCAAGATGGATTTGGAAGAGGATATTGAATGAGGGATATCAATACTCATGTCAGATGGATCTTTGCTGGAAGCAGAGACTACCAGAAACATGTTTACCTGTGTTTTATTGATTATGTAAAGGTATCTGACTGTATGGATCATAACAGATTATGGATAATGTCACAAAGAATGGGAATTACAGAACATTTAATTGTGCTCATGAAGAACCTATACAAAGACCAAGTGGCAGCTGTTCAACCAGAACTAGGGGGCACTGCATGGTTTAAAATCAGGAAAGATGTCTATCAGGGTTGTATCCTTTAACCGTACTTATTCAATCTGCATGCTGAGCAAATAATCTAAGAAGTTGGACTATATGAAGAACTTCCATATCAGGAAGAATTCCAATCAGGATTGGAGGAAGATTCATTAACAATCTGTGATATGCAGATGACATACTGATGAAACAGTGGATTACACCACAACATAAAGAAAACTAAAATCCTCACAACTGGACCTGTAAGTAACATCATGATAATGGGAGAAAAGACTGAAGTTGTCAAGGATTTCATTTTACTTGGATCCACAATCAACACCCATGGAAGCAGCAGTCAGGAGAACAAACAACATACTGCATTGGGCAAAGCTGCTAAAAAAGACCTCTTTCAAGTATTAAGGAGCAAGGATGTCACTTTGAAGACTGTTGTTGTTATGTGCCGTCAAGTCGGATCCGACTCATAGCGACACCTCCTTGGGTTTCCGAGGCAGTATCACTACGGAAGTAGATTGCCCCATCTTCCTTCAGAGGAGTGGCTGGTGGGTTTGAACCGCCAGCCTTCTGGTTAGCAGTCAAGTGCCTTAGGCACTACGCTACCAGAGCTCCTACGGTGTGTATAATCCAAGCCATGGTATTTTCAATAGCCTTATATCATGTGAAAGCTGGATAATTAATAAGGAAGACTGAGGAAGAATTCATGCATTTGAATTATGGTGCTGGCAAAGAATACCGAAAATACCAGACTGCCAGAAAAACAAACAAATCTGTCTTTGAAGAAGTGTAGCTGTAATACTCCTTAGACTTGAGAATGGCCAGATCTCATCACTTGTACTTTGGCCATGTTATCAGAGGGGACCAGCCCCTGGAAAAGAATACCATGTTTGGTAAAGTGGAGCATCAACAAAGAGGAAAATGGCTGCAACGATGGGCTCAAGCATGGCAGTGACTGTGAGGATGCTATAGGACTAGCCAGTTTTCATTCTGCTGTATGTAAGATCACTATGAATTAGAACCAACTCAATAGCAATTAACAATAACACACCCAAGTGAAGGATATGTTGCCTCCAAAATCCAGAGAGGCCAAGGTGTTGTGCCTCCTTTTTAGTTGTGGGAAGGGCAAGATGGAAACTTCTCCTTCACCTTAGAAAGAGTATCTCGAAAAGCTGCATACCATTGTTGTTGTTGTTATTTGCCACAGAGTTGGACCTGACTCATAGCAACCCCCTTGGGTTTCTGAGGCAGTATCACTACGGAAATAGATTGCCTAACCTTCCCTCTGAGGAGTGGCTGGTGGGTTTGAACCTCCAGCCTTCTGGTTAGCAGTTAAGTGCCTTAGGCACTATGCTACCAGAGCACACCACTGGATCCCTAGAAATTTTTTGGCAGGTTTATTTTCTACCCTCTAGTACACAAATGTATTACCAGTAAGTCTACAGTCATTGATATTTCTTTCTTAATAGGTCAAATCAGCATCCATAACCTCCAAACAGCTTTCCTGTAAACTAGAGTAAAAAAGATAACTATATTATACCTTTTAGGTAGGACAGTGGAAGTGCATTGTTGGCCTTGTCAGCTGACAGCAAACTGCTTCTGGTGATCCTTCAAAACCAAATTGAGAAAAAGGCACTGGCTAGATCAATAGTTATACACCAGGTATCGGGAGATGTCGTAATTTGTGCAAGCAAAGAAACTGAATCTGGAACAGCAGCTTCAACTGGGGTCAAGTTTACAATAACCCATTGTCATACTCAAAAATTCATCTTTTTTTTGCACAGGACAAACAGGCAAGTTAAATGGGGATGTGGTAGGAATCATCACCCTGGCATCCTTCAAGTCCCTGATGGTGGCACTAACCTCTGCAATTCTTCCAGGAATGTCATATTGTTTTTGGTTTACTATTTTCCTAGGTAGGGGTAGTTCTTATGGCTTCCACTTGGCTCTTCCTATCATAACAGCACTTACTCTAAAAGTCAGAGATCAAATAGGTGTGTGCCTGCATGGGCTTCAATGCACTCTCAGTACCAAATGTCTCAGGGTGACTTTTCGGAAGAAGCAAAATCCGTGAAGCTTATACATGTACATATATATAGAGAGATTTATCTCAAGGAGATGGCTCACATGGTTGTAGAGGCTGGCCAGTCCTACATCTATGGGTCAAACATCAGGATGGAGGCTTTCCCCGACTCACATAGCTGCAAGAGCTGACAAACCCAAGACTGGTAGATAATATGGCAGGCTGGTGGCTCACAGGCTGCAGAGGCTTACTAATCCCAAGAACAGCAGCCAAAACAGTAGGGCTGCTCCAGTCCAAAGACAGAGGTCAGATGATAATGAGCCAGATAGAGGATCCAGATGAGCAAAAAGCCAGAGAACTTTGCCAGAATGTCCATATACATATTTGATGCAGGCCACATCACTGAGGAAATCCCTTTCCAACTGATTGGCAGCTCATAGTAGATATCATAGTAGAAGTGATTCTGTCAGTTCTCATCATGGGGAATGATTACATCATTACATAACTGACAAACTCCATAATAACTGCTAAACCACTAAAAAGCATGGTCCAGTCAAGTTCACAAACAACTCTAACCATCACAGTGAGTAATGGATACATTCATATTCTTGACTATGGTGACAGTTTCACATGAGTATACATATATCAAAAGTTATCATATTGCATACTTGAAGTATGTGTTTTTTGTTGTTAGTTGCCATCAAGCGAGTTTGGACTCCTAACAACCCGACGTGTGCACAGAACTGCTTCACGGGGTTTTCAAGGCTTGACCTTTCAGAAGCAGATCACTAGCCCTGTTTTCTGAGGCATCTCTGGGTATGTTCAAATCACCAATCTTTCAGTTAGTAGTCGAGCACTTAACTGTTTGTGCCACCCAGGATCCTTACATACACGTACTTTATTGTATGCCAATTAAACCTCAATAATACTGTTAAAAATAATAAAACACATAGTAAGCTCTCCACAAAGCAAATATTAACATAATCTCAAAGTTTGAGATGATATGTACTAGAATGTGTCATATAATAAGTAATATATAAAAATACATGCATCAGTCCTTCTAATCTGTAGCTTAGGTCATTTTACCACAATTAAAATTCAACTTTCTGATTTTAAGCACCTATGTTGCAGACATTATTATAACAGCAACAAAAAAAATTTGATCACATTTTTATTCTGATCATTCACATTTCCCAGCTGAAAAAACTTGAATCCAGGCATTGCGTAACTTGCCCAAGTACACAGCTGACAAGAACATAGATATCTACCCTCAATTTTACTATAATTTACTGACTATAATAAGTGCCTTCTATTAGTTTTAACCTCCAGGTTGAGATGTTTAAATTGAAATTCTACCACTGAAAGTCAACAAATGTCTTCTGTCACAACAAATATTTTGCATTTATAAAACACAAGTACTATGAGATTAAAATGTTTTTGTGCTTGTTATGTTGTTGTTATGTGCCATTGAGTCAAACCTGGCTCATAGCGACCCCTCCTTGGGTTTCTGAGGCAGTATCACTACAGAAGTAGGATTGCCCAACCTTCCTTCTGAGGAGTGGCTGGTGGGTTTGAACCGCCAGCCGTCTGGTTAGCAGGCAAGTGTCTTAGCCACTATGCTACCAGAGCTCCCAATAATTCATTTTTAATCTCCAATGTACATACAGAATGCAGATTTGCCCTAATTTCAGAAAGCTAAGAATGAGACACAGAGCTGGAATCAGAAGCAAACTGTTCTTATTCCCAATCTAAGGCTCTATTAACTTTGTTGATAGATGGGGGGCAAATTCAAATCCCTCTTCTGTGATAAAATCAAAAGAGCATCATGTCAGGAATTGACAATCCTGCTTCTCTTTTTAATTAAAAAACTTAAAAAAAATATTTTGTTTGTTTGGAAGCTTGCATTTATTTATTTATAGCCATAGTTAACAAAGCTTTAGCCTCTTTTGTTTATTCACCTAAAACTAGATCAGAATAATACCATTTGTCCTGCCTACATCATGAAGCATTATAAGGATCAATTTAATTAGCTTTTCAACAACTGTAAGAGCTAAACAGATATAAAGAATTATTACTAAAACATACCTTTCACATAGTTTGCAACGGCTTCTTTGGTGTCCCTTTCTGGGTCAATAGTGATGAAAAGTGGAGTTAAATTCGGCAGTGTTGGAATACTATCTGAAAGAAATCACTCTTTAATCAGTCCTCACATTCACATTCTAAGGAAGGAGACATAAATGCCACAATAAAGTATAAAGGAAACACAGAGGGATATCTCACATTGGAGGGGATGGGGATGGCCTCCAGCACATCTGTGGTGCAAACAGATAATCTATCAAATACCTACACCAGGGCATAGACTTTATTACCCCTGATCACAACATGTGGATATTTTTTATTACATCACATGGATATCTTGTCTCCTAATCTAATCCTAATCCAATGTTTATGGTATTCCACCCTCCACCTGCCATTCAAGGGGAAGGTAAACTATTAGTAGAACTGAATATCCTCTAGAACAATTCATTTCAAGAAGGCAGCACCACCCTTGTAATACAAAGTCTTCTGGACATGAATACTGATAAATAATAAATACCATATCTATTCTAAAAACACAGATTTCCTGGGACATGAGATAATTGCCTGGGAAAAGGCAATGGCAATGTTAGTGATGGCAGTGTTACAATAAAGGAAGGAACACAAAATTAAAGTTAAGGGAGACCCAAACTACATTGACATTTCTAAGCAATCTAGTATTTACCACTAAAGCAAGCTTCCTTTGGTGAAGAATAAGATCACAGGAAACAAAGTAACAAACTACCAAAATGCTGAGAACTTATGTTCTCACAAATCAAAAAATTACAATGCCCCATATAACAGTATACAAAAATGTGGAAATACACCATCATAAAGGAAACACACTTTTCATAGTGATGGTTTTCTTACCTATTTCATCCACAACTTGAATCATTTTTTCTAGTTCTTCTGGACAGATATCAGGGCAATGAGTGAAACCAAAATAAATCAGTACCCATTGGCCCAGGTAGTCTTTGTTGGTTTTAGGCTCTCCAGTATGAGTTGTGAGAGAAAATGGTCCCCCAAGTAAAGGTTTTCCTATGGATCGCTGCTTTTCCTTCTCCAGCTCTTAAAAAAAAAAGACACACACACACACACACACACACACACAGTTAATATAACTTTAGGTACTCAAATGCCTGATATATGGTTAGTAATATAATAATAATTGTGTGAGCATGAAATATAGAAGAAATAGTCTCAGTTTTCAAGAAGGTCTTTCAAGAAAAATAAGCATGAAACAATAAAACAAAATAAAATTAAATTCTATGAGACTTAATAAGGACTACAAAAAAATAAAAGTAGTTAAAATAAGACTTCTGCCTTAGGAAGAATTCAGTCCTAAGCCATTTGGTATGGCTATGCTGGAGGTTGGCAAAGGTGCACAGTAGCCCAGAGGAAAATGTATAAGCCCAAATGGGGTGAGATGGGCAGCCTGGCATAGGTAGTCTGAGCCTGAGTATGCTGTGGAAGGCATTTATACAAGAGGGACTTCTGTTACATACAGAGTGAGAGATCAGTTAAGTAAATGTATTAAGACAATTACAAATGGAAAGGGATAGGACTATACGGAGAGGGAGAAAACTGGAATGAGCCTTGCAGCATTAGAATGAAATTAGAGGTATTGGTTTGAACTTATGGTCTTCAGTATATACAGACAAAGAAACAAATATGTTGTTGTTATATGCCTTCGAGTCGGCGACTCATAGCAACCCCTCCTTGGGTCTCTGAGGCAGTACTACAGAAATAGATTGCCCAACCTTCCTTCTGTGGAGTGGCTGGTGGGTTTGAACTGCCAGCCTTCTGGTTAGCAGTCAAGTGCCTTAGGCACTATGCTACCAGAAACAAATATAGGTATAAATATACACATATAATTTCCTAGTTCTGTCCATTGTGAAGGCTTGGGAACAGAGATACTCCAATAGCAATGAGCCAGATTTTGGCGTCTGAGTATCATTCTTCACTAAAAGGAAACAGGGCTCTTGGGAGAAATAGTTGACACCAGGACTGAAGCAAGGAAAGTACAAGATGAGCCACTAATACGTTGTGCCATAAAGGAAGGAAGAACTCAAAGGAAACAGCAACCTGCTTGAAGGGGCTCCCAATGGCCAATGTGGAACAATTTGATTACCAAAAGCAAGAGAATAATGGATTATAATTCATTGACTAAATAGAAAACTGTGAGTCCATACAGATGAAAAACAAATAAATACACTGAAAGGCTGATGGGCAACCAAATACATAAAAAAAAAAAAAAAAAACAACTCACTGCTGTAGAGTCAGATCCAACTCATAGCAACCCCTCCTTGGGCTCCCGAGGCAGTATCACTATGGAGGTAGATTACCCAACTTTCCTTCCGAGGAGTGGCTGTTGGGTTTGAACCGCCAGCCTTCTGGTTAGCAGTCAAATGCCTTAGGCACTACGCCACCAGAGCTACCAACCAAATACATAGAGACACAAATAATATAGGACATTTACATATGCAAATAACAGGTAAAGATAACACCTTAATCAAGTGATCAAAATGAACATCATCAGCACAGGATAAACTGAAATCATGTGGCACCTGATTAGATGCAATGAAAATATGGCATTACTTTTGTGATGTTCCTGCCAAAGGTATATGACCTGATCTGGAATTGAACCCACACCTGTAGCTTCCAGCCAAACAAGCCAGGCATACGAGCTGAACATTTACTTAAGGTAGATACACTCCTTGGAGAGAACAATCACGGGAGAAAGAAGGGCTGTTCCTACACAGAGAGACAGCTCAGGGGGCAGGAGTGCATGGAGGGATGGACACAGGGAACAGGTAACTATCGGGAGGAAGGGAGAGGGGAGCTGTTGCATTGGCGTAAATTATAGTCAATGTCATGAGACAAAGTGTATATGAACTGCTGTATGGAAAGTGAATTTGCTCTATAAATTTTCACCCAAATCACAATTAAAAAAAAAAAAAAGATTTACAGCTTTGGGGGGAAAAAAAAAAAGGTGTATGACCTGAACCTGATTAAGAGGAAACATCATACAAACCCAAACTAAGGGCCATTCTACAAAATAACTAGTCTGCAATCATTCATAGCAAAGACATGAAAGTCAGGTAAAGATTGAGGAATTGCTGCAGACTGAAGGAGACAAAAAAGACACAACTAAGTACAAGGTGCGGTTCCAAATAGGATCCTTTTGTTATGAAAGACAAGTAGCAACTGTGAATGAAGTCTGAAGACTGAATGTTAGTAATGTACCAGTATTAAATTTTCTGATTTTGATGGCTGTACTGTGGTCATTTGTAGGAAATGTACACTAAAAAGTATTCAGAAATGAAGAAGCTTCATTTCAGCAAAAATTCTCAAATGACTTAGGAAACTTTTCTTTAAGATTGTTTCACAGTAGTTTTTTTTAACCTCAGCTTTACTTTTTTAAAAAATAATTCACTGAGGTGAAATTCCCCGTTTTATACAATTTAGTGGCACTTAGTACCTTCACAACCTCAACCTCTATGTAGATTCAAAACATTGCTATCCCCCTAAACTACAACTCTTTACCCATTAAAGAGCTTCCTCTACCCAACCCCCTCCCAGCCCTTGGCAACCAACAGTCTGCGTTGTCTCAATGGATTTATTTGTTTTAGGTATTTCATATAAATGGAATTATACGAGAACCTTTTGAACGTAATAAATTCTTTAATGAAATACATGTTACTATTGCAGGTGAAATTCCAAACTGAAGTCAAAAGATGCCAACATATTCTGGAACTGTCTCTGCTATTACCTTCCAAACTTCAGTTTTATTTCTTTGTGAAACTAAAAGAACCTTCTGCTTCTTAGAATATGAAAATCATATAAAAAAATACTGCTTGTTATGCAAAACATAGGAGCTCTGGTAGCATAGTGCCTAAGGCATTTGACTGCTAACCAGAAGACTGGTGGTTCAAACCCACCAGCCACTCCTCTGTAGGAAGGTTGGGCAATCTACTTCCATAGTGATACTGCCCCAGAAACCCAAGAAGGGGTCACTATGAGTCGGTCCAACTCGACGGCACGTAACAACAACAACACAACAACATACAAGAAATATATATATATATATATATATCAATGTATGAACCTTACATTGCTTAAGGTTTTAAATCCTATGAGGTTTCACCCCCCCGATCTAAACATTAACAATGCCTTTGTATAATGGCATCAAGATACTTTAAATATAGTTTAAGATATTTAAAGATACTCGAAACTTCTAACCCAAATCTTAAAAGTCCTAGAATATTCACTAAAATATAGAGTTCTTATAATTTCTAAACACTTCAAGATGCAAATCCAGAGCGGCTTATGGCATTCCTCAACTAGTCTTTATGTATCTCTCTCTGTTGTTTGTGGTCAGCCTTTGGCCTTTTCCTTCGCTGATACCTAGCGCTTTGCAGTATCTACTCACTGTTCCCATGCTTGATTTTTCCAGGAAGCTGTCCCAAAACCCAAGGTTGCCTGTCTGTCTTCCTTTGGCCCTCAGAGTACATTGAACTTCCCTCTGACCTGGCAGAACCTTGTCTGGTATAATCCTACACTTCTGTCCCTTCCCTAGTCAAGTGCACCTCAAGGGCTGGACTGCCTTAATCATCTTTGTACCCTTCATACTGCCATTCAAATTTGTCCACAGTCCCATTCAAATTTGTCCACAGTTTAAGTCCTTTAAAATTGTTAGACAGTGATAACCTGGATTTGATCCTTGAACGGACAGAAGACATTAATGGAAATTTGAATAAAGTCCATAGTTCACTTAATAGTTATCATACCAATTTTAATTTCTTAATTTTCCTAAGTATACCATGGTTAGGAGCTCTGGTAGCATAGTGCCTAAGGCATTCGACTGCTAACGAGAAGGCTGGCAGTTCAAACCCACCAGCCACTCCTCAGAAGGAAGGTTGGGCAATCTATTTCTGTGGTAATACTGTTTCGGAAACCCAAGGACCCCTCCTTGGGTCCTTGGGTCACTATGAGTCAGATCTCACTCAACGGCAGTGAGTTTGGTTTGTTTTTTGGATACTATGGTTATATGTTTACATTAGGGGAAACTGGGTGAAGGATATACATGAACTCTCTAAACTATCTCTGTAACTCTTCTGTGAATCTAAAATTATTTCAAAATAAACAATTTAAAAACTAAAAATTAAACTCACTGCCATCGAGTCAGTTCCTAATCAGAGTGACCCCTCCTAGGGTTTCCGAGGCAGTATCTCTATGGTAGATAGAGATACTGCTTCTGAGGAGTGGCTGGTGGGTTTGAACTACCAGCCTTCTAGTTAGCAGTCAAATGCCTTAGGCACTACACCACCAGATGCTAGTCCATAGCCAGGAATGATTTTATTTAGATGTGATCAGACGTTAGCCAGGAAGGATTTTATTTAGATGTGATCAGACGTTACCTACTTACTTTCTGTCTTTTCTTTCTTAAAGTACTTCATTCCAGCCAATAAAGCTCCTCCAATGGCAAATGTGAGTGCTAAAGACTTCCAGGAAACAGGCTACCGGGACAGATTTCAAAAATAAAAATACTGGTAAGATGCAAAAATTTAATAATACTAAGTCTATTAGTTTTTAATATACACACATACACAGGCCTGATCTTGTTAACTGCAGAATGTTTCAAGTCACTTTTGCATGAGAAAATGCTGAACGCTTCTCCGGATTCAATTACATTTGGGCTCTAACAGACATTCAATTACAGGGGAAAATTCCCTAAATTAATTTCTTTTCACGTGAAAAACAATCCAAAGAAGTTCAAGTACCAAGATATTTAATGACTCCTACTATTTGTGTCTCTGGCCCCAATTGATGATTTAAACCCAGGTTACTTACATGCTTGTGCTGACATTGAGAACATAAATAAATCAAGTAAAATTCAGGAGGAAGTCCCTGGTGGTGTAGATAGTTGAGAACTCCACTGCTAACTGAAAGGCTGGAGGTCCCAGTCCACCCAGAGGCACCTCAGGAAGAAAGGTCTGGCGATCTACTTCTGAAAATTTAGCCACTGAAAAGTCTATGCACAGTTCTGAGACAGACACACATTCAGTTGCCATGAGTAGAGGACAGTTTGAAAGCAACTGGTGATGTCTGCGTTTTCAGAAGTAACAAAGCTAATGGGGAAGACCGTAAAAGTGGAGCTATCCTCACGTTATTTCTATGTTGTTGTTGTTGTTTGCCATCGAGTCGGCCCCGACTCATAGCGACCCCTCCTTGGGTTTCCGAGGCAGTATCACTACGGAAGTAGGAATGCCCAACCTTCCTTCCGAGGAGTGGCTGGTGGGTTTGAACCGCCAGCCTTCTGATTAGCAGTCAAGTGACTTAGCCACTATGCTACCAGAGCTCCCTATTTCTATGTACTCTTTTTGAAATTCCAAAATAGTGTATGGGCTACCGTTAACTTTCACCCAACTCCCAAAACACTTCTATTACCTACCACTAGAGGTAAAAAACCAAAACAAACAAAAACCAACCCAAAAAACAAACCCAAACTCTTAATTCTTTTGGGGTCCTAATTGGAACCTGATAAAAGGTAAGGCCCCTTTACCTAGAAAAAGACACCAGCAAGCAACGAAAGCTATTTTGCTTCAATGTCAATGTATTCATGGACCTCTGACGGGAGATTCAAGTGACAGAGATTATACTCTTCAATCCTGGTAAAGCTAAGGTTGAAACCGCTGAGAAAAACCTGAAACTTACAATTTTGACTTAAGGGTTGACGGAAACCCAAGCCTGAATATCTAACCACATGGAGAGAATGTGAGTTCTCAAGTTCTTTTTAGGGCTGGGGCTACGGGTGAACCAAGGAAAACGGGGGATGAGATGTTTTAAGATAGCTGAGTTGATCATTTCAGGCCAGGCCCAGTGGTTTCGTAGGTTATGGCTAAGAGGGACAGGAAGGCCCAAGGGTCGTCTGACAGCCGCGACAACTTATGGAAGTGCTCTAGGTCTGCACTCACCCCAGGCTGCAAGGGACGCATTGGATCTCTGTGGCCCTTCGATCCCGGCCCTGAAGACCCTGGCGGTGGCGGCATTCCTGTGCTGAGGGGCCGGCTTCCCAGGCAGCAGCCTTCGAGCCCTGAAGCCCGCCTCGGCTCCTCCAGCCGCACGCAAAATAGCCTTTTCCCGGCTCTCAAGGTATCCTCAGGCGAGCTCCAAAGCCCGAGCCCGCGAGGCAACAGACGCCAGCGTGGGCCGCCCTGAGGCCGCATGAGCCGGCCGGCTCCCACTAAGAAACCCGCCATGAGCTTAGGAAGCCACGCCTTCTTTCACTAGTCCTACGACTTCCGGTGCCGGTTCCGCTTCCTCCGAAATCCAGAGGTAGGCGTTCTTTCCACCCTGGTCGCTCGGTGGTTGCATAGAAAGTAATCTGGGAGCGGTTTGCTGAGAAGCCGGGCTCCGGTAGGTTGTTACTTGAAGCTAGAGGCGGTTTTGGCCTGGTTTCGGGGGGAACTACTTGGCCTGCAGGGCAGGGGAGGGGCTGGAGAGGTAGTTGGAGACATCCGTAGTGGCCGCGCTTTTGGCCGGGGCCGGTGCACCACTAGCGCAGAGGCCCCCCTCTCTGGATTGAACACTCGGGGCTTTGGTGACCGCAGTCAGCTCCTCGTCCTGCCGGCCACCCCCATCCTCTTAAAAACCAAAACCAAATTCATTACCCTGTAGTGGATTTCGACTCATGTTGTTGTTGTTGTTATGTGCCGTCGAGTCGGCCCCGACTCATAGCGACCCCTCCTTGGGTTTTCGAGGCAATATCGACTCATAGTGACCCCTTTTTGAGTTCCCAAGGCGGTATCTCTACGGAAGTAAATTGCCCAAGCTTCCTCCGGAGGAGTGGCTGGTGGGTTTGAACTGTCAACCTTCTGGTTAACAGTCAAATGCCTTAGGCACTACGCCACCAGAAAACATTGCTTGGCGACCAGCGGACAGCCCACCACCCTCACCCCTACCTTGTGACCCCCTTTCCGCCCAGGCTGGCCAAATAGAACCTCAAAGTTGTTAACGCCTGGCATTGCAGAAGTAGGAGTCGACGACCCATTGCGCTTGAAATAATCCTTGATTCCTGCCCCCCCCCCCCAATGATACTTTGGCTGATTAGGGCGAGAAGGACTAGTTAAGTGAATTGAAGTGGCCCTTGCTTCCAGTTATACTTACATTATAATGTTCCTTAGTTATAAAGCACAGCGTTGTGCGAAGAAATGTACTGAAGCGTATCTCAGCCTTATACTTACTCTCCCTGGGCCCCAGTTTCTTCTTTAAAATGCCTTTGCTGATTCCTTAGTCCCCTTCAGTTTAGATTTTAAGCTTTTTGATGAGTTCCTCATCTGGGATAGTTTATCTTGCTTAGATACAGCCTCCTAAGATGATAACTATCCGTAGGTTTACTTTTCCCTCCTTGTGAAAGCCGTTTAAACTTGGATTCATTCCATTGCTTTTGCTTGTCTCAATGACTGCGGTTTTACACACAGACGCCACCCCTCCCATACACCTATGGTTGATCTGCAAAATACAGAAGAAGAATTTAAAAAAAAAAAAAAAAATGACCCTTAATTCCCTTACTTAATTGCAGATTGCACTCCTGTGTGGTTTCCCTTCCCACTACAGGAATTTGCCACTCAGCCAGAAACAACTTGTGCCCTAGTGATAGTGGGACTGAGGAATGGTATTTTATGGAAGTTAGTGGTGCAAATAGTTAAGGGCTCCAGTAAGATGTTGGAACCCATGCAATGTGAAGAAAGCCCTAGGAATCTGCTTCTGAAAAGTAGCCATTGCAACACTATGGAGTGCAGTTACACTCTGCAACACATGGGGTGGCCATGATTTGGAATCTACTTGATGTGAACTGGATACTAGTTTTTTTGGTTTGGCTAAAACCCACCAGCCATTCCCCAGAAGGCTGGGCGATCTACTTCTGTAGTGATACTGCCTTGGAAGCCCAAGGAGGGGTCGCTATGAGTCAGATCCGACTCCATGGTAATACTGCTTTGCATTGCAACTGGCCAAGGGTGTTGCTCTCTAACACACTGAAGTTGTAGTCTAGCATGTGTGTCTTGATTCTGAAATTGGGTTGGAATTTTCTGGAATTTCTGCTCATAGCTAGAAGACTTTTAAATGTTTGCTCAGCAATTCAAATCATTTTAAATTAAAACTTTTTTTAAGAAAAGAATTTAATATTGAAGCTGCACATGGGTAAGATTTTTACCCTTTTATTTCAATGTGTACTTTTGCCAGAGGAAAAGTTTTTCCTCTAATTGTCAAAGAGACAAAAAGTACATTGCTTATTATTAAGTGTATGACATCAAATAAAATACTAGCTTCTGGAACACTTCCTTGCTCAGTATGGGTGTTAATAACTATTCAATGAATAATTGAATGAATTAATTACTAGTACGGTACAGTAAATTACTTAGTATCACCTTTCTAGCCATAGTCTTTTTGACTTCTACACAGTGATTGGGTGGGACTATGAAAGAAGGTGCTTGTGGTCCACCAAAGAGATTAGACAGGTTGCTTCTGATGCAAATAAGGTGTCTGGAACCTGTGATGCTTAAGGTTATGTATCAACTTGGCTGGGCCATAATTTTCAGTAGTTTGGCAATATGTAATTGTGTAATTTGGCAGTTATGTAATGATGTAGTCATCTTCCATTTTGTAGTCTGATGTAATTATTTTCCATTCCAGATACCCATCACACCCTTGCACCACTTTCCTCAAGTAAGGTGACATTCCTTGAGGGTATGGTTTGCATCTAATATATATGAATGCTCTGGCAAAGTTATCTTGCTCTGGATCCTGCGTCCAACTTGTCATCATCTGACCTCCAATTCTTGGAACTTGAGCCAGAAACCTATTGTCTGACTTGATTTACCAGCTTTGCAGCCTTGTGAACCAGCATCATATCATCTGACCTGCTGATTTGGGTTTGTCAGACCCTGTAACCACGCAACTCAGGTGAAGCCTCCAGCCTGACACCTGACCCACAGATTTGGGACTTGCTGGTTTCTAAAAACACATGGGCCATTTCCTTGGTGGTTTTTGAGTTTTGTGAGACATTGTAGCAAGTAACAGAACTCAAGATGGGAAGACTACTGAGAAGGGTAGGAGCTCTGGTAGCATAGTGCCTAAGGCACTTGACTGCTAATCAGAAGGCTGATGGTTCAAACCCACCTGCCACTCCTTGGAAGGAAGATGGGGCAATCTACTTCTGTAGTGATACGGTCTCGGAAACCGAAGGAGGGGTCGCTATGAGTCAGGTCCAACTTGACAGCACATAACAACAACTGAGAAGGGGGAATAGTTAATATTAGAGATGATGAAGTAGTACTGCAGGTTGAAAAAGTTGGACATTTGCAACATTTTTAATCTCTACCTCATAGGGACCAGAAATGATTCATGTAACTAGTAACACCTCTGAGCCAGATTTCATGGACTTGTGAAACTAAGTTGTAAGGGGTACCTGTGGTTTTATCTGTTGTAAACCTGTCACTCTGTATTATTGTTATTAAGCACCAATATCACCAAATGAGTTAGAGTGCCCCCCCAATTTTAATACCTTTCTTGAAAGAGACAGAGCATAGATAATATCAACTCTTTGTTCTATCAGTAGTGATGAGGCCAAGACCAAGCAAACTTTGTGCTTGACATATTTTTAAGCTTTATGTGAACTCTACACTGTAACCTGTTTGCTTCATCTCAGGCCCAATT